GGTGCCTTTTCTACTCTTAAAAATATACACACACCAGTCACATTTGATTAAAGCACTCTTAGTGGGTGAAAACCCTTAACTTAATTCAGGGCAGCAATCTGCCCTACACAAGTCACAGAGCCAGCTAATTGCAGAACAAAAAGAAGTTCTTATAAGAAAGGTTTTTCAGGCTGTAAAATAGATACGGTAGACTAAGAGTATCTATGCAGGACAATATATGCCCAGATGTATTAAGGGAGAATTGGACACAGCCAAAAAACACTTCCTGCTGTAATAAAATTACCCGGATGAATGCCTACTGCGGCCTATAGAGCATGCGCACCAGAGACTCACGCCAGCTAACTTCCGGTTAAGCTCTCCAAGGATAAAATGATTTAATTGTGCGGCTCTTCTAGAATTCCCAAATGTAATCAGACCAAATGGATCAAATTGTAATAGTGAACAAAGTCATGTTGCAGAGGTTGTGGCATGAAATGTGTTTTTTTTTTTTTACATTTTACAACCGCTTCTTTCACACTGTCAGCTAATGGGAAATAGTCTTTTTGGGCTGCTGTGTATCACTGTGTCATTTTACAGAGGCCTTCCTCTTTTCTCCAGTTTATAACACAGACTTTATTTCAGTTAAATATATATAGTCTCTGAGCTGAAACCCTGAAAACCCTTATGACCCTGATCACCAGGGTTATTCTTTCAAGCTTTATAAAGCTCCTCAAGAAGGAGTAGCACTCCCCATGACAGGGAAACTGAACCTCATAGGAAAAATCCATGCAAAGCCCCAAATCAAAGAGTGTTTCAATTCATTGAGAATCAGAAGGTGAGAAAGCAGTTACTTCTGCTAAGCTAGGCTAGTTACGCTTTAGCAGGACAAGCTAAACTAAAGCAGTTTTGTTCTCACTCGTGATTGGACCAAATATGTAGTTACCTCAACTTGGCTTGTAGGGCAGAAATGGAAAATGCTGTTCAGATAATGTGGCCCCTGCTCCTCTCCTGTTGCGTTTGTTGAGAGCCTGACGTAGGTCTGTATACAGCTCACTCATGTGTCCTCATATTCTTGTCATAAACAGTAGCCTATTAGCCTGCAGTCCTTTAAACAGGCCCTAATAAAGTCTGCCCACCCACCCAGAGCTCAGCTAAATGTGAGTGTGTAAGAGCGTCTGGACACATTTGTATGTACAGATAAACGCACATCTGCGTACTTTCAGACCTGACCGCATTCTTGCTCCAGATGCTAACGGTAAAGGTGCGATGAAAACAAACATCGGGTCACTAGGTTTCCCTAAACTCTCTTTGAAAACCACACAGAGGCCGGCGGTTGGCGTGGTCGCTCACAGCAACTGGTATCAGATAAAAAGAACAAACACTGTGTTTTTATCTTCATGAGTAAGAAAGAGATTAGATGCTTTGGAACACTCCAGGTTAATGAGAGGATTTCTGTTTTTCTTCTCTCCATCTGTACTCTTACCTCTCATTCCCCCCTTTCCATTTATCCTTGCCCACACTTCTCCTTTGCTCTTCAACGATCCCTTCCCTGCACACCCACCTCCTCGTGTTCCACCACTGTGTGGCCTCCTCCTGGGCTTTTTTGTTGTAGCCAGGCTGTTCTATGATTACAGGCTAGTGGTCCAAAATGTAAACATGGTGTCAATGGAAGTCCCACTCACCCTCGAATAGAACATCATGGCTTCCATTAGACCGATGCCTGCTATAGACACACTCACAAAACACCAAACAGTGCAAACACGCTGGCACCTCAGTTGTTTTTGCTTTCAGATCTGGTTGTGGGTTTTGGATGTCGTTGCCTGCAACCACAGAAAAATACAAAAATGCTAAAAATGTCTTGCATGTTATCCTGCATTTTGCATATTGCCCTTTGGTACAGTGTTTTTCTTTGTATTCTTTGAATATAAAAGATGAAAAAATAGATGATGCTAGTCTAAGTTTTCCAAGAGTCACAGCAATAATGTTTGAAAGGAGAAAATTGTTTAATAAACTGAAACATCAACTGTAACTGTCAGGTCTTAGTTTCAGTCCCTTTAGGGCAGAGGGGTTGTTTCTGCCGCCACTGTTTTGGACTTATGTTCACGAGCCATACTGGGAAAAATCCATCGTAAAAGAAGCAGACTCCACTGACAGTTATATTGAAGTGCACTGCAACCAAAAATATGTTGATTAAAGGATGCAACTCTCCCTTTTTTCTGTTCTCGAAATACTTAATTGCTCAGGCATGTTCTCTCAGGGGCTGTTGGGAGTCAGCCTGTGAAATGCAGGAATCACAGGTAAATGAGGCAGGTTGAGGGGGAAAGTATAGGTGAACCAAAACAGCATGCAATTACCGCAAAATAACCTCACAGACTGATGTGAGAGTAACAGTATCCAAGGGTGGAATTTCCTCCCAAAGCCGGAGTTGTTAAACTGTCCTTGGTACTAAATGAGAAATTTTGCTTTTTTTTTTTTTTCTGGAATCGAGATTCATAAAAACTATACTGCCACTCACGTCATGTGGTGATCAGAAGTAAGTCTGCGACCCACAGACTCAGAAACTTGGCTTCTGAGGGATATGTTGCAGCTTAAGCTTTGGCCCGAAACGCTCATTGTAATGAGACTACCCATAGAAACACTATTGTTTTTGTAAACTTTTCTCCCTTTGGTATTTGCTTGTATTTTTCTCCCATTTTTTGTTTAGCCCCTGCCCTGTAATACAACTCAGAGCCTTCTTATGAATACCATAAGTTGAGTATTTGGTGTTACCCTCATAGCTTCGTGCCAGGGGACATGCCGGACTTGGAGCTGACTGTGTGTGTTGGATCAGAGAGAGAGGAACATGGAGTCGGCTCCATCACCACACACCAGAGCTCAGAGCCCCGTAAGCCCTTCACTTACAGACCAACCACGAAGACTCCGACCCAACCATCACCACATGCCTGTTGAGGAGGGAGGGGGGGGAGCATGGAAATTAGCTGAGGGATCTTTGACAGTTGCAACACTGGCATTCCTCACTGCTTAGATTTCTATAACACAAGTTGGGCCTGAGATTTGAATCTACTCTTTAAAGTCAACAAAAGCGGCTGTATTTTTGTTGTTTTTTTCTTTTAAGAGAGGAAAATTGGCAGGATATATTTTCACATCGGAGGTTATTAGATTCCATTTTAGCGTTACAGTAGCATTTGAATGAAATAAAGGACACGAGATGAATAGGTTTTCCTTTCCCTCCCATTTCCCTCGTTTTATATACAATCTGCTCTGGCACGTTATAAGGGCTCTCAGTCAAACGCAGGCTTTGGTCAGGGTTTGTTAAACTTTTTGAGGTACTACTACGTCTTCTAAGCCTCTGAGTCATCTAAGTAGGGGTAAAGATCAGGAGGAAGAGGACAGCCCAGTCCTCTAAAAGCCAAAGTGTGCCTAGAATACCTCAACCACTGATGATAATAACAATCAGAGGGCCAAAGGCAATAACCAGGGTTGAGTGCGAACACATGGCTACCATAAGACGATACTCGACTAACCTGTTTGTTACAGGATACTTTAGGCCTTGTGCCTGTGTTTTCTCTATGCATTACTAATAAGACTGCTGCAGCCAAAATATTCATTAGATTAAAGGCTAATTCCAGTGTATTACGTCTTCTTCTTATTTTTGTAACTTTAGCTTTCGTAACCTAATTTCTATAAGTAATGATATCATTGTACTTTATATGAGATGTGGGAACATAGAAAATGAAAATAAAATCCTAGTTGTAATAATCAGAGTAATTCTTTCACTTCTTCACTCTTTTTGGATGTTTGGGATGAGACTCAGAGAAATTAAATAGTCAGAAAGTTAACTTATTTATAATTATTTGTTATATATTATATATGTATACTTTTTTCAGTAATTAGTAGTGTAAGGAATTGCAAAATTCTGTACCTACAATAAAGTTAGCTTGTTAGTTTGAAGCAGGGGTTAAAGGCGCAGTTTACCTTAAAACAAATGAATAAAAATGTTGTCTTATTTTTGTGTAGCCTGTTCTTAGCTGGTTATCTGAAATTAGCCATTGTCAATTCAGGAATAATGTGGTTTTTGTTCAGTTGGAGGGTGTGCGAACCCCACAGGTCCAGTGCAGTCACTGGGACTGACTTTAAGCTGTTGATGGTCAGTAAATACGTCCAAACATGGCTGTTTGTTAAACCATTATGTCTCTTTTTGTGTCTACACCTGTTAAATACAGAATATGTGATAGGTGTGGAGGGTTTGGAGTTGTTAAAAGGCACTTGAGCTGTGGTGAGCAACAAGCTAGCTAACTTTTGAATCGTCTGTTTCCTTCTTATGTAAAATATAATGAGTAATTGAGTAAATTTTAAAGTGATTTGCCCAACGCTGCCATTTGAAAAGGATTCCTGTAGTACACACAAAGGGAAAAACAATTCATTATATAAGAAAAAAAAGATATATATAGTAGCATTGACAGCAACCCTTCCAACCCTGCTGTGAGACGACAAATACCAGTGGTGTGACAGTAATGTGGCTATTATTTCAGTCCTTTGGGAAGGTCTCCCAGCATTCGTGGAACAAGAGCGGAGGGAGAGTCCGGGCTGTTATGAGCCTGTTTAAGAGGAGGCAGCGGATGAGAGGAAATTACTTTTCTGAGGTTAATATAGTCTTGCGGTTTTCCTACAGTAGCCGCTCACAGACTCCCTCCCGGTCTGCGCTGACATGGTCACTCCATCAATGCCAGCAGCTAATGTCATGTTTATCTCCCTCTAATCACAGATTTAGCCCACTAATTACAAAGCAAAATCAAAAAGCCTTCAAAGAAAGTGAGGCCCCATCAAAGGAATGTTATGAGAATTATGAGTAAAAACAAGGGAATGTATTATTTTTTTCCTAATATATAGATGTTATTTTTGTAATATAAAGCATACACTGTGTTGGCATTTTCTGAAGTATAGGCTCATGGGAATGTTTAGAGTACAGTTTTATTAATAGTCTCTCTCTGTTTCTGTCTTTCTTTTTCTCTTTCATGCAGGAACCTGATGCCTCGTACTCTAGAGGGTCAGATCACCATGGAGAAGACCCCCAGTTACTTCATCACCAAAGAAGCCCCTCGCCGCGTCTTCTCCATGAGCCGCCACACCAAGCTCATCGTGGTGGTGCGTGACCCTGTGACCCGGGCTGTTTCTGATTATACCCAGACTCTGTCCAAATCTCCCGGGCTCCCGTCCTTCCAGAACCTGGCCTTCCGCAATGCCACCACAGGGCTCATCGACACGTCTTGGAGTGCTGTGCGTATTGGCATCTATGCCAAGCACCTAGAGAACTGGCTGCGCTTCTTCCCGCTCTCACGCCTCCTCTTTGTCAGTGGCGAGCGCCTCGTGACGGACCCAGCAGGGGAGATGGGCCGGGTCCAGGACTTCCTGGGACTCAAACGTGTGGTGACAGACAAGCACTTCTACTTCAACCAGACCAAAGGTTTCCCCTGCCTGAAGAAGCCCGAAGGGAGCAGCAGGCCACGATGCCTGGGAAAGTCAAAGGGCAGGCCCCATCCCCAGATCCCCTCTGAGGTCCTGCTCAGGCTCAGAGACTTCTACAGACCCTTCAATCTAAAGTTTTACCAAATGACCGGCCACAATTTTGGTTGGGACTGAACGGCTACTCGCCAAAGCTCTTAAAAACTGTTAGTAGCGTTCTTGTTAAGCCAACTACCAGACAGGGATACCTTGAATACATTGTGTGTTACCAAAGCTTTTATTGTGCAAAATATGCCTTTGTGTAATTTCCTAAGCTATGAAAACTGACTATGAAACTGCTTTTCTCCAGATTTACAATAGCCATGCTAAAAAAGTTTGTGCGAGCTTCAATCCCCTGAGCCATAGTAGTAAGCAGTGCTAAACAAAAGAGCTTTGGAGAAGCACTTGGTTGTGGCTCATGCTGCTGCAGTGTGAAAAGCGCCAGCCGCATCGAAGTGTACTGCTTATTTGCTTTAAATTGGAACTTCTAGTACTTGGCACCCTGAGTGACAGAGGTATGCTAAGCTCTCATTGCTGTCCAAAACATTTAACAGCACAACTTCTAAATTGAAAATAACCCCAGAGCGATGCCAACGCTGCAGAGATGTGCCTGAAGTTAAACCAAATGTCAAACGAGTAACAAGCCTTGACAGCCGGGCAAAGCTACGATAAACCAAATGACATATTGGAGTTTTGAGACATAGCTATAAAAAAACAACATAGTGAGGAAAGAAGCAAAGGGGTTTTGAATTATGCACAATGGTATAATCAAAATAAACTGTGACATAAATAAGTCATTCTGGATCACTTAAATTCCATCAGCATTGTTCAGTTCAACTCTGGATAAATGATCCGACACGTTTATACAGTGTATGCAGTTACAGGAAGTTCTTTTTTCTTCAGTTCTTTCAATGCAAGCTCCTTTTCTGGACTGTCTTTTAATTTTATAAAAATGAAAGATGTAGCAAACGCAGGATGATACCTGGTACTGGTGCAAAAAGGCATAAAATAGTCCACAATGTGCTGTAAATATGCTGTTATTTAAGTTTCCAATACAATGCTTGTATAAAATGTTCTTTACAGACAACACCTGTATCTGTGATTGTTTTCTACTTCGTTTAATCATCACCTCCACAAACGGTACTTAAATGCAACTGTATATTTCTAAAGGCCTAATTTATAAGATGACAAGCTATTGTTGAGATGTTTTCTCTGAGACTTTTGTATTTGAAATTCTGCTGGAAATTCTGACTAAAACCTTCGTTCTAAAACATGTGTTTTGGGCTCATTTTTGCGTTGAACTCAGTTCATCCTCTTTGTATTTATTCCAAACAAACCAACATTACTGCTGCCAGGAATATAAAGTACATCTGCTTAGCAGATGATTTTTTCCTGGAAGTGACCTAACAGACACCGGATGATTAGAAAAGAAAATACAATTAATCACTGTTGTGTGATCTTTAGGGATGACTTATAGGAAATCTGACATTTATTTACAGAAAATGCAGTGGATTTTTACATTTACATTTTAATCTTTAACCTTCATTTATTTATAAAATCAAGTGTCAAACTCACAAAGAGAATGAGTAAATAATCTTTCTAAATGGGCTCGACCTGGTAATTTAATGAACAAACAGTACTGTTCACATCAACAGTTGAGGCTAGAGTCAGCAGCTAGTTAGCTTAGCTTAGCAACTGACTACTCTGTCCATTGACAGCTCTGCCACAGTTTACAAAGCTATTTGCATTGCTTCACAGGGAGCCTTGTTGGAATATGAACAGCAGTACTAGCCGTCATAATAAAAGGAATAGCTTGACATGTTTAAATATATGCTTATTTACTTTCTTCATACATGAGTGATCAGTCAGTCCTTGACAAACACTTGCAAGATGAAGTGTGCAGAGATTGGTGGAGGGAGTGGGCAGTAAGGTGGACGGGTCGGGGTGTAGGAGGGGTCATATGGGCTAAATTTGAAGTTAACACAGGACAGTGGCTTTTCTGATGTGTAAGCAATCAATTCACTGGGGTGATTGGAGACCTTTTGGGGATGGCAATCTTTGACCTCTCTGCTCCCCCTTGACCTGTGAGCCTGGTCACCATAAACTGCTGACCACTACCGCCGCGCTGGTTAATGGAGTCGCCCTGCATGAGCTATGAGGGTGGATGCATGCTCTCACACACATGCACACACTCACACACAAATAAACACACACGGGCATACAACAACTCCCCCCTGATCCATTAATATTGCATTCTCAACCTCTGGGACCTCCACTGAAGGGAGATGGTCCGGATCAATAACTGCCTGTTTAGTTTATTGGCGGTGGGGATATGTGCTTAGACATACCATGTCCCACTGTCAGTTTGATTTAACTCAGGGGTCGAGCATGGGTCGCTATCATACATTTGTAAAATATTATTTAACACCTGATATATCTTCCATACATCTGTAATCGATGCAGGGCCTAAACACACACACACAAGGGCACACAAACACACGTATGCTGAACAAGATTTTAATCTTTTCAGGGCTGCACAGTCATTACTGTGGTTTCTGTTCCATCCATCTACAATCTTATATCATTTCATTACAAATCAGTAGTGGTATCTATTTTAAGGTTTTTCCATTATGGGAGGGGGAGGCAGTTTTACTGAGCCATGCCACAAACAGCCATGAGCAGGGGAACCGGGATGGCACAACTCACGACTGTTTTCTCTATTATAATGTGATTTCATTGCCTGTGTCCCTTATCTTGAGCAAGTGTGGGGGGTGGGGGGGTTATTTGCAGACGTAACCAGCAAACAGCATTCAGCATTCTTGTTCTTTTTATCAGTTTTGTTGTAGTACTGATAATAAGTACAACAGAGGAAGGACTCTATAAATGCCCCTCTCTCCTGTCGTTTGCATGCAATGACACATTCTTGACCCAATCCGCTGGCCGTGACAATGTGGCTCTGTTGAGGGGGGGCCCTGCTGTGAGACTGTAGTGAAAACACATGTCATCACTGCGTGGCTAACACGAACCGTACCAGGCCCATGTAAAGTAGAAAAAGCCAGCAGAGAAAGGCAAGCTGGAATCAAATGTACATGTTTTTCTTTTTTGTGGAAACATAATACAGTAGGTGAACTTAAAGCTGCACACATCAACATTTTTGTATTAACGATGGATCAAAAGACTACATGTCATGTCAAAAGGGTTGCACGTTGTGAAGAACCCACAGAGAATTATCACCCAACTCTGCAGTTCCCCTCACCTCTATGGAGCTTTATAGCAAATTAACGGCACACACCTTTACTGTGTTCTGTGTTACGGCTCTCACTGTTGTTGTCTACAGCTGTTTGAGCAAATATCGACATACCAGCGAAGAAAAGTAACCTATTTTTCAAAACTCAGCAGCCACTTTCACATTTTCAGAATAGACTTTAGATGATCAGTTACCTTGAAATTTTTTTGCTAAAACTTGCCAGCATTTGACAGGTGGGTGGTATTCATTTTCCACCCTGCATACTCTCCAGTTATAGAATATCTTCAAGTCACCCAACCCCATTCATGGGTGAGGAGTGCGCAAAGGGAACCAGCCAGCTATGTCGATGAGTTTCCCGCTGGTGAAAAGTTTCCTTTATGTCTCTCTCTGCACCAAAGAGCCCTGAGACTTGAGATAGCAGCAAATCTCTTATTCATCAGCTGACTGAAGTTATTCAGGCCTGACGGTATTGATATGCAAACAAGATGGTTCAGCTGCAGGTCTGCAGAACAGGCCATTATCCAAAAAGCCCTGGCTCCATTCCTGATACATTTCTCTGTCGCTCACACAATGACCCTCCTGTCAATGGTCCATGTGAGCGTCTGGCTCCACTGAGGGTGCATAGCATCCAAAGACACATGGATTAGACCAGACCCGGATATTGGGATGGATGGGCCAATGTTACCTCTTCAGATCTTTACACCCCTAATGAAAGTGACTGGTGACCCTTGATGAGGTCAAGTGTCCTCACTCAGGAAAAGGGATGGCTTTTTGGAGACTTTGCCAGCTTGCTTACAGGGCACTGCATGGGTTCAATCAGGCATGGAACAGCTGGAGGACAGGAAGACATTTTTAGGGACCACAACACTTGCCAGGCAGTCATACAGCTTACCGTAGTGCCTACTGCATGCCCATACTGGTGCAAATTAATTGTTAGTTCATTTGGTAAAATTTAACGGTTCATTCTGAAATACCAAACTTTCATTGTGCCTGTGCCATGCAGTACAATGTTTTTGTTTTTGAGGATCATACATGCCATGTACATGCACATGAGGAAGAATAAAGCTGTGCATACGTTCCACGATTTGAGCCCGTTTCTGACATTTGGTGAATTTCTGCCGTTGTCACGCTCTCGTACAGTTGATCAGAACCACAACTAGATTACCCAAGGTCAGTGTCTTCTTTCTCACTGTGCCTGTGTGAAGTGGCAAACATAGCGCCTGAAATTTCCATGCCGATACAATGCATCACGTTGACAGAACATATGGAGGCCAGGTTGGTCAAGCTGTGGCGACAGCAGGTGTACTCCTCTTCCTATCATGACTGATATGAACAAGAAAAACGCTGGCAGTAAGTAGTGTCTTGAGCTAAATGTTAATGTCAGCATGTAGTTTAGCGTGTTAGCGCTAAACACAAAGTGAAGCTGTGCCTGATGGGAATGTCATTTGTTTTGCTGGTATTTTGGTCATAAAGTCCAGATAATGGGATTAGATGAAAAGTCAGGAGATCATCAAAGTCTAATTCAAACCAAATTTCATGGCAATACATCCAGTAGTTTTCTAGATAGATTTCTGTCAAAACCACAATTTTTAAGCACCACAATGGCATTAGAGGACAAGCCTGGGGACCAAAGTCAGTGTATTGTCTGGGAATAATGAATATCTGTACCAAATGTTGTGGCAATTAATTTAATAGTTGTTTAGATACTGCAGTTGGGACCAAAGTGGTGAACTGACTGACCAAAAGACGACTAAAATATGACTAAAATATAAAATAAAGTTGAACTAAGGTGGTAATTAATGTGAAAGAGTTCAAGTTGGATATAAAATTATGATAAAGCACTGGTATAAATGAAACAGAGTGACAGCTGTTTTTGATGAACTCCAAGTCAGCGGAAGGACCTCATGCTCCTCAATATGTTGACAAAATCCTGCCACCGTTGAACTCTAAAAATCCACAGAATAAGCACTAACATACTAAATACAAGTCTGTTTTGTTTCACAGCGGAATAGCCACACATAGTCGATCTACTGTCCACATTCCCCTTTAATGACCCAAACAACATCCCCTCTCTCTCCTGAAGTGACTTGAGCAACTGCTCACTGGTCACTGCTCCGCTCCACGACTTGCTCTTCTCTGTGGAGGTCAGGATCAGCTCTCTGGCCTGCCCAGAGGTCAGAGTTTAAAGTGCATTCCACCACCAGGGTCACTTATGGTCATTTGACCCTTATATATGCAGTTGGTTATTCTCAGACTGATGAGGGGAAAGTGATTACAATCTGTTACCGTCCCCTGTAATGGATTCATTTACTGTGAATGATAGAGCTGAATTGGTCATTATTGAGGAAATTGTTCAGGAAATAAATTCTTTCATGTGACATTATGATCGCTTGTGTTGTGACAGATTGTGGCTGAGTGTGACTGTGCTGGGATTTCAGTCACAGACACCAAATATTTTATCAATCTGGAATGTAGATAACTCAATGTAAAATAAGTTTATAATAAGTAATAAGTTTTGATGAAACAATTGCCCACTAGAGTGATTTCTTTGTGGGTGGGGTGAGTCCTGGTCATTTGATAGAGGAGTCATCTGTTGCCCTCTGACCTCTATATAATATGGAAGTGGAAAGGAAGGAAAAGGGAGAGTCTGCTGTCAGCCAGACATACCTGAGTCTGAGACCTTAACTCTATCACTGAAGATCCTTTATTAACATGCACAACATTTTGTCTCACACTTTAATAACCCTCCAGTTTCTCTATTTATTCGTTGTAGCCAGAAACCAAAGGATCTTTCTCAGGATATACCCCCAGACACTGAATGTTCAGGACTGGCCACATGCTGAAACAATTCTCGGATAATTATTACGTTATAACTCTGTCACAAATTGAGATACTCTTGGCTAACAGGCTACCATCAAAACATGCATCTCTGTTGTAGAAACCGTGTTCATTTTAGCACAACACACACACACACACACACACACACAGCTCACACTCTTGACCAC